TGGTTGTGTGTGTGTGTGGTTGTGTGTGTGTGTGTTTGTGTGTGTCTGTGTCTGTCTGTCTGTGTGTGTGTGTGTCTGTGTTTGTGTGTGTGTGTGTTTGTGTGTGTGTCTGTGTGTGTGTGTCTGTTTGTGTGTGTGTGTGTTTGTGTGTGTGTGTGTGTTTTTGTGTGTGTGTGTTTGTGTGTGTGTGTCTGTGTGTGTGTGTTTCTGTGTGTGTGTGGCTGCGTGTGTGTGTGTGTGCCTGTGTGTGTGTGTCTTTGTGTGGGTGTCTGTGTGTGTGTGTCTGTGTGTGTGTGTCTTTGTGTGTGTCTGGGTGTGTGTGTGTGTCTCTGTGTGTGTCTCTGTGTGTGTCTCTGTGTGTGTCTCTGTGTGTGTCTCTGTGTGTGTGTGTTTGGGTGTGAGTGTGTGTGTCTCTGTGTGTGTGTGTGTGCGGAGTGGCAGAGAACCCTGCCACCAAAAACCTTTTTCCGTTGCAGCAGGGGGCAGGAGCACCATGGCAAGTCTCCTGCCAACGAAGACACTTGCCATCGGTGGTGATACTGGGACTGATCATCCCAGCGTACCTGCATGTGTAAAGTGATGTTGCTGTCCTTTTGGCCCCCTTGGTTGCGGCGCTGTTTGTGCTTCTTGTTCTTTCGGGTAACGTTTTCGCCTCTAGAGAGAAGCCGAGTGAATTGCAAGCAGAACTCAGCCGAGACTCATCAGTTGTACTCGAGACTCATCAGTTGTACTCGAAAGATTAGCACTCTCCATCTGGAGTTCAAGTGTGTACACCCCATTCGTGGGGAATCCTCGGGTGTACCCATTGTGTGACCCCGGGCCGGCTCTGTCGGAAAATTTGACCTCAACGTGCTTATCATAGAACAGCGGAATTTCACATTTAACCAGGAACGAGGTTTCACTAAAGGGAAGAAAGCCGTCAGATCATAGCGACGTCTCACTCGGTCTACTGTTGGCTGCTGGCTTGAACTTGCATGGACTTGCATTTATCGGACTTGTTCCTCTCAAGAGTGTTGAGTTGCGGTGTTGCATTTGTTGTGCCATCATGTCTCGACGTGAAGATCGAGATAGATCTAGGACTCGGCGCAGACGTGATCGGAGTCCTTCCCCTCAAGCTCGCAAAGCACGCCGACGTGAACACAATGACAGCCAGGTCTCGGAGAACATGGATTGGAACAACCTGGTTTCATGGCAACACAATTCCGGCTACAACGCTGCCAACAACTTTCCGATGATACCTACCAACTTTCAATCGACTCACAATCCCACACAACAATTCCAACACCCAGCGATCAACTACATGATGCCGATCCCTCCAGACCCCACGCCAACCAAGTTCATGCCACCCGTGATGCCACCACCGGTCACTACTTCCCAACCTACACCGCCACCTGGACCTCCTGCGGCTCTACCGGTTCGTCCTCAGAAAGCCTGGCTTACACCCTCGCCTGACTGGACACCTGGAGATGGCATGTTTGATGTCAATCAGCTCTACAACTTCAGCCTGCCCATGACTGTTGCCAACACTCCGCATGGCAACCTTCGCGACATGTCAGGCATGGATATTAGGGACGTACGCCTAGTTCAGGTTATCCACGGGGGCCTCACCAACTGGCTACTCAGGCCGTTTGCTCACGGCAGATTCGTGACGTGGGAAGGCTTTCGCACTCGCACCGAGGCCTTACTTTGGAGTACCTGTTCCAAACTACTACGAAGATCACAGTCACTCAACCTGCTCACCCTGGAAAAGGACCTTGCCAACACGCTGGGTCTCAACATCGATGACTTCAATCAGCGCATCAAGGTCCACGACCATTTGGCCAGCTTGGTACTTCAATTTCTTCAGCAACATCACACCTCTCTCGCACCTGCCACCCAGACAGATGACATGGTCAAAAAGTACAATGATCTAAATCGTGCGCACGAACTTCTCCAAGCTCAGTATTCCGCATCGCTTCGCGCTTCGACCTCTCCCACGATGACAAACCAGAAGGATGATGCAGAGTTGGTTACACCGCCACCGGTCAACCACACACCATCCTCGTCACCTCCCTTCCTACAGCCAGCGCAGCGGCCCTGGATGGCAAGTCGTTTGATAGCGCGGTGCAACCTCGGATCATTCAGTCTCTTCACGGAGTGTCGTCACCGCCGTCCAAACCGGCGGCGTCACAATTGCTCACCATGCGCAGCACGCCGGATGAAGTTGTCAAGTACTACACATGGACCAGTGACCAACCTCGCCTTTATCTCAAGCAATCACCCACAACCACCACTTTGGCATCGCTGGTTAAGTGGGCCAATCACCCGTCCCGGCTCAACGGCAACAAGTCATTAGATTCTATGGCGACGCAGCTCCTTCAGGCGCGGCAACGCATGCCGAAAGGCGACGCACCCACTCTCGGGGCGATGGCGGCTTCGTGGGGACTAGAGCCCGGCTATTTTACCAAACTCACTGAGAAGGCATTGAGTCACCTCATCGTGACCGCTCGCCTACTCTGTG